CACAAAGTGTGGTCAACATAAAGCCTTCCATGCCAACTGTACTGCAGAACGAACCACGCAAGGCATCCTTCACTAACTTGCTGGCAACCTCATCAGCCTAAAGCAAAAGATTGATAGAAAATACTATTAACATCATCTTTAAAGTGTAAATTAAATCATGAACAGAACTATTTGTTAAACATATCATCTCAGGACAAGGTGTATATCAATCTCTTGACAGCAAAGTAATTTCTTCCTGGACTATCAGCATTAATGACCCCCACCACTGCAACAATGTAATTTCCCACACGTCACCTTAAAAAGTCCAGCAGATTCTGATATCAATTTGGTCTCAATGGGTTTTGTTTTGTTTTCCTCCTCAAATCCTGGGGTGTCTGTATCAGGTGGATAACACACAGTCACTGTGATATTGTATGGCTTTACCTGAAAAAAGAAAAAGACGAGAAATGCTCACTATTAAATTAAAGCAACAAAAAAGGTTGAGACAAAACACTTGTATTTTGTGTACCCTTCCACAGACAATGTATAGAAGTCCAAGTTCAAAAAGTTTATGCCCTTTTTATGAAAATTTAATAAAAACTCTTCAATAACATCTTGTGCCATGAAGTTATCTACTCTCGTTTACAGCTCTTACTACTAGCTTCTAACAAAAGTAAAACCCTCGGAGCTGTTGCACTGGTCACAAGTTCCTAATATTTGCAAGTTCTGTTGTATGCTAGTGAAGCACCTCAATCATAGTTTCTATTACCTTTATTGTATAAGAAAAGAAAAGAAAAAAAAAATTAGCTTTCTATTATATTTTGGTGTACTTAGTATACCATTCATTCCTCTCAAAATAGGACCAAAGTCAGCTTTTCATGTTGATTAGTAAGTGCTACAGCAAATGAATAAACAAACTGCACTTTATGCTCACTGAATCTGAAAGTAATTACACATTTTTTTAAACATTATAATGGAGCAAAAAGCAAATACCCATATGACCATATAAAAGGAAATTTATAACTTTACCTCCTGAAAACAAGATGAAAACTGCATCTCATACAGACATAACCCTCTTAACAAATTGTTTTTACAATAGGGTACAATGCAAATTCAGCTTGTTGCTTTTTACCTTACATTTCCATATATTTTTGTTTCTTAATAACATGGATATATTCTTTCTCCTTCAAATTTAGCCCAAATTTATCTACAAGAAATTGTAGGTTTCGTACAACCATTAAAATATAAATCTTCCCATACAGACATTAAAAGTGACCATTTGCGAGACCATATCTATGAAAAGGTCTAAGAAATATACTTCTCACAAAAATCATCATATCTCCATTCAATAAACATCAAACACATGAATATTTCATAAATATGAATCCAGCAATTCAATATCTATATGAACAGACACTAAATAAGAGCCCACATCTCCCAAGAATAAAATTAATGTGAGACACTTGTCCATGAGTCAATGGCAACTATATCATGTAAAGAGTGCATCTTGAGATGGGAGGGGGAGGATGGGTACCACCATGAAAGACCTCAAGAAGCGTGGTTTGCATACTGTCAACCTCTTGCCCTGTAATTTCTTGTAATTCACTAAATTCACAAAAAAATTCATTGTTTTGGTTTTTTGAACATTGACATATTTGTAAGATGCCTGATTATCTTGCCTTTTTATAAAAAAAAAAATATGGATATTTTCAGTAAGTGTCCCCACATAGAAAAATATCGTCCCAGAAAAGACCAGTGTCTACAGTAACCTCCTGGATGAACTACATATCGAAGATAGTCTTGGATATTATGAGTATCATCATTGCATATCAACTGAAAATTTTCAAGAAAGAATACACCAGACTTAGAAAAAACAAGCCACCCATTTTACTAATTATCATGTATCATACCACTGTGCCAGATACCCCAGTACCCCATATTTCAGCAGAAATAGAAAATGAGACAAAATTCTTTCCACTATTAGTGTAATTTGTAATGTTTTTGCAATGTTATAGGCAAGGATTTTGATCTCGGTTCCCTCCACATCTTTAAAGGGATCCCTGGCCAAAAAAGACTTATGTAACCATACCCTTTTTAAAATACATAATTCCTGAAATCTAAGATTTTATCGCAAGAGTGAAATCAAAGATTTAAATTTCAAACCTTTAGCTGAATGGCTTCCTACCTTTCATAGAAATTTTAAGGAATTTAAAAACAGCAAAGATTATAATGCTCAACAGATGTGAGACGTAAGATAACAAAAGCTATAGGAGAATAAATGGGAGGTTTTATCTTCAAAAAATAAAAACAACAAATGAATGTTCCTCTGATCAACTAACCTCCTGACAGAGTGCTTCGGCTAACTTCACCAATGCACCCTTGGCGGCAGAATACAGTGTGAATCCGTAGACACCCAGGAGGCCTCCCAGGGATGAGGTGAAGACGATAATGCCCTCCTGCTGCTGCTTCATGCTGCGCACCACTTCTTGCGTTATGATGACTGACCCCGTGAAGTTCACATCAATTAGTTGCTGCAGGATCAAATACTAGCGTAAGGTGTCTCTACTAAGGCATTCAGCTTATACAGTACATGATAAACTTACATTATATGTAGACATCTATAAAATATAAATCAAATGTCAATACATTACTCAACTTTCCTACCTCAATTCGTTCATAATTGGTAATGAATAGTCATGAAAAACCTGACAATCACAAGCAAAAAACTACTTTTTCACATATTAAGGAGAAACTAATCAAAATGTCAGGTTTATAGGATCAGTTTCACAAATAAAAGTCTTCCAAAATTGAATAATCATGTGAATTTTGCAAATGACATGCAAACAAACAAGCTACAGAGATTTTTGGAAGAGTTGTCTCAGAAAAGATCAAAGCAAAACTCTTGTCAACCTCTTCTCATTATATCATAAAACTACCATACTTAACACTAATCTTTAAATAAGGTCAATTAGATAATGCTTGCTTTAAATATTCAATCTACATGCTATATATTCTTGAATGACTTCTACTTTACAACATTTATACTTTGCAATATATATATATATATATATATATATTATATATATTATATATATATATATATATATATATATATATATATATATATATATATATATATATATATATATAAGCACTAGTTTCTCCTTACTATGGGAGAAATAAATTTTACTGTGAAAATATGAATAAAATATCCTAGAAGGACTGAATAACCTGAAAATAATGATTATGCAAAAGTGGACTATCATAAAAGAAATATTTACCCACCCTCTGACATCATCTGATTCATTTGCTTCTCTTCACCCGTTTGGTCCATACAAAAAAATCCATTCCTGGCGAAACTTCCCATTTTTTCAAGAAAGACTACTTTAAAAATTCTCCTGCTAGCAGTACACAGGGCTTTCTGCGGCCTTTTTAGAAAGCTTACAATATTTTTCATATTCAATATGGTTTGAGATAATAAGGTTTGCAGACTTGATTTTACTGACTGTCAACATTTATGAATACTAGTCTATAAGCCTTTATCATATTCATGAATGTAAGTAGTGCTGCCTTCTTAGTTAGCAGAGCACAGTTGAGGCTTATTGAAAGATGAGCCAGCATTTTCCAAACACCTGTGTCATCTCTCAATAAGCCCATTCTGTGCATACCGTTCTTTTGTTATCACTTTACCTACAAAAAAATTGCGTTGCCATTCAACACATAAAAGACACAACCACTATACCTTTGCAAGCTGGGGTGAAATATCCTCGAATTTCATAGCTCGGGCAAATCCCGCACAGTTGACAAGCATGTATATGGGTCCTTGACTACTCTCAGCATCTTTGACTAAGGACACTATTTGCTCTTGGTTTCCAGAGATGTCAGCTGTGACAATTATATGTAGTAACTATCACTATTTTTATATATACCAAAATTACAATTACATTTGTATCAAATTATATATGTACATATATACACCTATACAAATATATCACTAAATGTCCATTCTACAGGGTATACATGTTACAGTTTAATAATTTTACTTATCTATATATGGCTTTACTTATTATATAACTGCTTTCTAAATATATCATCTGCTACATGTGTTACAAGTATAAAGGGGAGGATGGATCACATAAAATTACATTATCTTGTCTTGTTCTGAAGAATCATACAATAGCTATTGTTTGTAAGACACCACTAGGATATAACAATTACTTTTCTTTTTCTTAAAAAAAACAAAACAAAAACTACCTAGCTGACTATCTACAAGGCACACTTCACAACTTTTTCCCTACTATGGAGAGCTTACTCACAACCCAATATGGCTCACCTGAGAAGGTCTGCACTTTCCCGCCAGCACCTGCTCTGGAGGCTGTGCTCCTCACCTCTTCCAAGGCCTTTTCCAAATTTGCCACATTTCTTGCAACTAGGGTGACACTGGCTCCTCTCCGAGCAACATCATGTGCAACACTCAGACCAATCCCACTCGAGCCTCCAGTTATCTGCCAAAAATTCATGGTATCAATATCAATTCTATTAAGCAGACTATTCCTTCCTACAAAGCATATCCCTCCATGGTCAAAAATATCCCTTACCTACAGTCATGAGAAATATTAAAATTATGACTCCATATTGCAATCAACAGTTAGGGTGTTTGTGTAAGGTTGCATTATTGCTGACGCAGTACGAAGAATTGTGCGTAACATACTAATACATATTTAGAAACAAATTCAGAAAAAGTCAGTAAGAAGAATAAAAAATTTTAAAAATATATAAAATTATCTAATTAACTGTAGGTCTTCATCAAAAAAGCTACATGTTCTATAAACAATATCCAAATAACCATCAACCCAAATAATATTCAACATCCTCCACAAACAGACTTACCAATACATGCTTGCCGTTTAAGTCTCTCTCCTTGGTGGTGAAAAAATTGACGACTGCTATTAATATTCCTATAGCAACAGGGACCAGCAGGTACTCCAATATACAGCAAAGCTCCATTGCAAACAGCGTTCAACAAACCTAAAATAAGAGAAAAAAAGAAAATTAAAAGACTGAAATTACCATTATCTTCACACTGATTCTTCAATATGCTAGTTTTACATAAGACACCCCCCACTCACACTAAATGCACTGTACTTTGCAAGACTAGGAGTCCCTGAGCTACTAAATTCTGGATCTACAATTATTTCAACAAGCATTTTAAAAGTTTAATCTAAACACCATAACATCTTCAAATAAGCTTGAAAATTCAACCTGACTGTGACAACTCATTTTACAAACTGCATGTGACTAATACTAATATATTTGGTTCTTGGGGACTGCCTTTGTAGTAGCAGTCAAACATATAAAAAAAAAATAAATGTCTTAGGACCTAATACTATCTGCTGGTATAAATGTGGTCTTGGGTTTCCTGCATTTGCCAGGGCACTGTAGCAAACATAAGCGTTTCATCAATCACAACTTAGGTAACTATTATTTCCAAAGTTTTCAAGCTATCTAAATTCTGGCAATATCAATCCCTTCAGAACACGAATTCCCGGTGCCATAATAAGCCACACACCAGGGATATTGCAATTAGCAGCTTGTGAGTGAAATTAGAAGCTTGGGAAACAAATTTACCCCATTCCCTACACTATCAGCTGTGGCATATATGAATGAGGTTTTAAGACTCAAAGGGCTACTTCTCCTCAGTAACCACAAGCAGGGCCAAAATAAAGCAGCTAATGGTTTACTACACAACATACAGCTAGTTCGACTGTGCATAACATGATAGAACATCACTCTTCATGTGTAACATTTTGGTCATGATATGCTGCCGGTTTGTTAACCCCTTTGATCTGTTGGTTTAAAAATGTGTGGTGCTCGTGTACGGGTTTCTTGCCAGCAAGCAGTAAATTTATTTGTATCATCATGAATGTCTTTGATCTAACATAATTTCTGTTTCTCTCTCTCTCTCTCTCTCTCTCTCTCTCTCTCTCTCTCTCTCTCTCTCACACACACACACGAGAGAGACAGAGAGAAAGTGAGAGACAGATGCAAAGACTGTCAAATAAGAAATCGTTCAAAGACACTTTGTGTGAAACGATTAAGAAATGAAGGAGAGGGAGAGGGAGCGGGTATCAGGACAAGGAATGAACCAGGGAGGGTGGAAGTGTACCCCCCCATATAGGGTCCCATCTAGGGTGGAGGGGTATGGGGTGAGATAAAGGAATAGGACAGGAGAAGGATCACAGAGGGGGAAACTGTGATGTAGAATCTGCCAGTTTATTGCTAAACTTACAATAAACCGGCCAATCATCTATTGTAAGTTTAGCTTGGGTAAATATTCTGAATACCTTCCCATAAACAATCATGATGATATTGGGGTTACAAAAAGGTATATTATAACAATATGAGTGTTTGTGTTCGTGGCGATGAAAAGCCTGCCAAAATATGTGGATGTCTGGGGTACCGAATAGCCCACCAGAACACGCCATTGTGTGATTGGCTGCCCATAAGGTGGGATGAGAATCCGGCGCCATGATTGGCTACGAGAAGGGAGTGGCAGGCTGTGCGAGAAGAGATCTTGCAGAGCGAGGACGGTCCATGACTGTAGCTGCGATCTCAATTGTGCTGCTCTCTCTCTCTAAGGACATAGAGACAGAATAAGGAGATAAAGTTGTGCATATGTGTGGGGTGACCACCTTTCCCTGGTGAGAGTAATTAGTTCCTGCAAATAAACTTTGTGGCCAGCCAATAAACCGTGGATTGCTACCTGTGTGTCCTTCATCCCCGCCAACTTCATTTAGCGCCCTGAGTGCGAAAACACTCGTCAAAGGCTGCTCACTGAACCCGGTGGGACAGGCAGTTAAAGAAGTGCAGTATCCTACCATACAGGGTAGGTTGTGTGAGGCACTTGACACTTGTGAATCTGTCTGTGTATGTCATTGGGCGCCAGAAGGAGAGAGTTATGTAACATTGGTATCAAGGATTCCTCTCACTAACTGCTACCCAAATATACATAAATCATGTCCTAATGGCCACAATTTTGGTCCTAATCTCAGGGGAGGGAATCAATTAAACCACAGAAATTGTGCGGTAAAATACGAATAATGTAGAGAATTAGTCAATATATAGTTAATTGCTGGGGACCATGCCCTTTCCAACCCCCCATAGAGGGCTGCTTCCCCGAAACTCCTGCACGGATAAAGCATAAAGGACAGACTTGGCATCGGGCACTCCCGCATGTGAGTCGTACCTTCTATCCTTCAATGAATACCTGGAGGATTATTCACTTGAGTGGGGGTTGAGTGGTGGCAGCCCCATAGGCCCCATAATGCAGGGGCTGTGGTACAGCCCCTGCATTAGACAATATTACAACAGATTCTGAGTATAATATAGTGATATATTTTGTGTATATTATTCATATTTTACCCCACAATTTCCCTGTTGCCTTTCATGCCATCCCCTGCTATCGGGTTCAAAAGTATGGGGATCTAGGTGGGTTCCACTGGTAATGTCCTACACATAAGGGTAGTAGAGGGAGAGAGGAACCCATCAATACCACTATCTTCCTGATCAATCATTCAAAAGTATTCTGAATAATTACCAAAGGTTGTCGTCCTTCCTTGTCATTTATCAACCAGCCCGATTCCTAAAAATAGAATATAAGGTGCATATGGCTCACAATAGTCATCTTTTTAGCAGAGCGTGAAGCACAAAGACACAGCACAGCTCCATACAACCTTATTCTACATACTTAAGCAGTTTCCAAAGATAATTAGTCAACAACAAATTAAAAATACGAAAAATATTAACACTGAAAATCCACAGCCTTGATTACACATGCACGAGTAAGTTTGATTTTCGTCGTTTCTGGAATAAAAGACAGATTCGAAGCCCCGTCACCAATGGAGAACTGAAAGCACTTTAAACAACTCTGAAACGCGAATTTTAATCACCATATCTCTCCCTCCCACAAAAACTGACGCCAATTTAACAGCTAACTCAACAATCTTTACAGCAAACTCTTTTAAGCTCTGTATATCAATAATTTACTCATGATTCCCATTGCCGAGGCCTTCAGTACTCTCTACTAACTCGAAATAAATGTACAGGTGACATAAACTAAGCCACTTACCTTGAAAATAGAAGAAAAGACTTATAAAGCGATGAGGAATTCCAAGGTGTGTCGGCCCGCTGTCAAAACAATTGCAGGGATGAGAGATATAAATGTTTCAGGTGTTAAAATGTGTTGGATTTATAGTATAGTAGTCATATTTAGATTTATGGTAGGTATTTTTATATTCCTTTTTATAATCTACTGTGTAATTATGAATTCAAGAAAACAATGTAAGGGTTTATAATAATGCTCCTTTGATATGTTATTTTTCGCCAATTATTTGAATAAACTACAAGACTAATACATATATCAGTAATACATAAAATACTAGTTACTATGCTAGTACTCCCACTAGTTAAAAGGACGACATAAAAAGAAACAGAAATTCCATTTGCTCACAAAACAAAACAAACAAATATCACCAAGAATTAGTACACACAAGATCCAAATCAAATGCAACGATACAAAAACTACAAAACGGCAAATACGAAAACACACTACAAATAAAAGAGGAGAAAAACAAGATTAAAAATAATGACAATAATGGCATTAGTCACCCACACCGCGCGGCCGTGAAAGGTCAGCGCGTGAAACAGGTAATTAATTTTCGTCTTAAAATTATAAATATTAGACTAATTTTTTAAATTTATAGTCTTAATATCATCATAGTTTATCAATGCTGGTTGATGACGAAGAATATAATAGGTTAGAGTAGATATTGACTATGATTTACATGAATAAGGGTGGGTATTGCAAATGCCACGTAAAACAGGTGTTATTTTTGAGTGTTTTGTTGTTAATATGCAATCCTTCTTTTAGTTCTTGGAGTTGTTGTACCATTTTCTCACTTGTCTTACTGCTATTTATATTAGATTTTAAAGAGGTAGGTTTTAATTTCATTATTTTTTTTTAGTAGTTGGATTTTGAAAGGAAATAACGTAGAGGGTCTTTTATCAGTCTTGATATTGTAGGTTTGGCAAATTCACTTCAAAAGACGAAACACTTTCTTCTCATGACAGACATAGACGGTTGAGCATGAATTTAATCTTGGTTGTATTTTAACTTTTAACTCTGTCTTGTAGTGTTGTGATTTTCCACGTCTTCGGCACTCAGGCAAAGGTCAAGGGGCCTCGACCAGGTCCTTTTGAGAAATATCCTGACAATGCAAGCCAGACTGTAGAGTATTTTTCTTGTGTGGGGAATATTACATTTTTTCATGCGCGGAAAACATCATTTTGTCTATATTTGCGCCGACAGATTATGAAACAAGTGCGCGGAAAGGTTTAAAGAATTTTATGCGCAGAAGATGATTTAAAAAAGAACTAAGCATGTGGACAGAATTTGACCAAATATTTTTTGCACGGACCAAACTCTACAGTCTGGAATGCAAGAGGTCTAGTTGATTAGGATTAAATCTTTTCAATAATACACGTTGGTTACATTTCATTGATTTCATTGTATCAAAATATTAAATATTTATTTTTTTTTTCCAATTTTATACAGTGCTTGTAATAAACTATTTCAATGTCCTACACATATATTCTTGCAAAATAGAGCTCAGGTTTAGTTCTTTGCATAATGATATTGAGAAGTTTAAAAGTTCATGTTTCCAAAACATTTCTGTTAGAGGTCTGCCTTTGTCAGAATGCTGGGTGCGTAGAAATTGTGTCAATTGTCATATTAAGTGTAGCGGTATCATGCATAAACAATTATTGGCTTACCTTGAGTTCTTGCAAGTTCCTTTTCATATCTGGTTGTGTGCTTGCGTTAATTTCTATATTTTGTATGGCAGTTCACACTACAGTATCACCCTGCTACTTAGTGTGCATGTTTCTTTACAGAAGTGTTCCCTACGTCACTTTGGATGTGGGACTAACTTTAATGTTTGATATGGAAATCAACTTGTATTTTCCTCTTCTCCATGCAGTCCTGATTTCTAATTTTTGCTTCATTTTACACAGAAGTATAAAGGAAGGCTAATAACCTTTTCATAATGATATTTATTGATTGCCTGATCTTAAATCTCATCATACCAGACCCATGTCATAGTCTTGCCACGATCTGTACGTACTTTAACCATATCTTCTCGTACCTCACCTTTACTTTTACCTTTTCATATCTCGTCTTGCCTTATTTCATTGAAGATTTAAAATAACTAAGCCTGGCCTACTCTAAACATCGGCTTCCCTGTTGTGGTTGTAGCCTCAGTTGCTGCCAAAGCCCACCCTAGCCTATTCTTTGTGTAACGTAATCTGTGGCTGCATTGCATGCTCCAGTAATGGCCAAGCGACTACCATGCAAATACTATTTTCATATTTGATTATGAATCATCATGGTATACAAGATCTGTCTTACAGATCTGTAGAGTTCAATAATATGGAATCACTCTTATTTTCTGTATTGGTAGTATTGTTTTTTAATTAATTGTATTGGTTGGTAAAAAAATATATATATATCTCAGACCAGTTCTTCTTTTAGGGTTTATTATAGTATGTACTAATACTATATATTAAAACATTTTTATTTATTCAGAGGTTTCTTATGTTTGGAAGAATTATTTTGTGCAGTCCCAGCTTTTATGTAATTAAATTGGCAATAGTGTCTTATGTGGCAGGTATTGGGTTTTTGGCTATCTTCTTGGTTGAGATAGTATGGAGGAAGAGTGAAGGAAGAATCTTTCCTAATCTTGCTTTCTCCCTCCTTCCCTAATTCCTTCTGTCTCTCATTCCTTCTTGCTCCCTCACTTCTTCACTCTGTCCTTCCCTGTCCCACAGTCCCTCATTTCTTTCCTCTTTGACTCTCCTCTCTCTCTCTTTCTCACACCTTCCCAATCTCTCCCTCCCTTGCTCCTTCCCTTTCTCTCTGTCACACACACCTTCCGTCTTTCATTTCTTCTCCTTCCTTCTCTCCCTCCCTCATTGTCCCATTCTCCCTCTCTTTCTTCCTGTTTCCCTCTTGCTCTCTAAGTCCTTCTTGCCCTTGCCCTACCCCTCTCTTCCTTTTCTTGTCCTTTCACCACCTCTGTTCCCCCTCTCCTTCTGTCCTTAATTCTATCATCTCTTGTCCATTCCCCTTTGCCCTCCCCACCTTTCATCCTTGGTCATGAATGTGCCCATTATTGCCTATGAAACTTAGTATTTGAAGCTGAGTATATATCGGTTGATCATGAAATCTAGAAATTGTACCTCGGATATTTTCATCCAAAAACTATTTAGGTGTCATGTCCTGAACCTGAAGTTGTTGTATCTAGTTTCTAACAACTAGGGTTATGGAACTTTTCCGGACACTTCCAGACTATTTATGTAAAAGAACATTACACCTAAACTTGAAAGTAAGCAAAATTTCTGCGGCATTATCTAGTTTAGCCTTGTAGACTAAGGTCTTCCCTGATGGCGATATTAGCAACTGTAGCTACAGACGACTTCACTCAACAGTATGAAGATGATAATCAAAAGAAATCACCGAAAGAAAAAATAATCAAGGAAAGAGAGGAATCTCTTTTTAATGTTAACTGCAAAAATTAATATTGTAAATTTTTCTTTTAGTTCACTCTACTCTTGACTATCATTGTTTATTAGAGGCTGATTAAACTTATGGTATTCAAAACATCTTATGCAGCTTAACCATCACCATGTGACACCAGCCTCACTGAACATAAACAGAACATAGGACAAACTGTGACTGGGTTTGGGGTGTATTGAATGCAACTCTTCAATGCCATACATAGCACTAATAAATCCTACATGATCTTACAGCATGAAACTTCTATTTTGTCTCATTTTAATGAAAATTTTAAAAATTCAGTTATAAATATATTGAAAACATATACTTTTTATTATGACATATGCTAGTTGCATATAGACTTGTTTGTTAGTTCCATATTATGTTAGTGTTAGATTGATGGAGTTATGCACCTGGCAGTGAGTGTCTGAGGGGACTGTAACTCAGCAGCTGTAGGAGTGCCACCACTGAACATTAATAATAGCAATATAAAATTTTGATATTTCCAAAAAATAAGAAAACAGGTCTTATGGATAGAATTAGTAATTGACTTGGAAACTAAGCAAAAAGTCACCTCTGTTTAAATACTGTTAATAAACTTAAATAACAGTGGGTATGGCATATACTTGCTTGCCATCCCCAGCAGCAATAGCTTGATATTTAAATACAGTTCTTTATTAGATTTTGATATTTAAGTGACATTAAAGAGTGACCAACAAATGTCAGAATTCTTTTCTTTTTCTGTGAATTATTATTTGTACTCATTTTCACAGGAGAGAGATGGAGGAGCCATGCACTCCAAGAGGCACCAGAAGGTCGAAGTTGACCAGATCACACTCAGCCCAGCCAGAGGAATGGTGCCTGTCATCGTCTCCCTATTCATCCCGGCGAAAACCGAAGTCACCAGGACGCAGCCTCACAGCAATTTTCACCCGTCCTGAACGCACAGAGAGAGCTTCCTCAGAAGATAGCAGAACTTTGTACAGAAGGAAAACCATCGGCACTTTTTATGGTGATCGAAGATTTACTACAGTGCCAGAGGATGAGCATGTAACCTTTGAAACATGTGTAACAGAAAAAAAGAACCACAATATCAGCTTATCTCTTTTTTCTGATTTAGAAAATGCTGAAGTTAATTACTTGAGTAACAGTTATAGTGGTTCTTATGAGCAGAGAGATTACAATGGTTCTTATGAGCAAAGAGATTACAATGGTTCGTATGAACAAAGAGATTACAATGGTTTGTATGAGCAAAGAGATAACTACAATGGTTCGTATGAGCAAAGAGATAACTACAATGGTTCTTATGAGGATAGAGGTAATCATAATGGCTCCTATGAACACAGGAACAATTATAGTGGGGTTTATGAACATGTGAACAGATTTGACTTAATGGCTCCTGTTTCAAGGGTTGAAAGTTGTTTGAGGAGAAGAAATGCAGTGCCTGTTGGGGAGAAATCAGATGTTAGCAAGCCTCCAACTCCGAAAAGTTCCCCACTATTATGTTCATTACTAATGAGAATTGGTAAACTTTTCTTCTGGTGCTCCATTATTGTTTCTGTGGTTGTTTTAGCAATTTTTAGCCTATCTACTTTTATAGTTCACCAAAAGACAGTGTGTGAACAAAGACAGGGTTTGAAAATACCACTGGATGCATTAAGGGAAGAACTCACATCACATGTAATTGGCCAGGACATTGCCACTAACATACTTTTAGATTCACTACAAAAGCTTCAGGATGACGACTCCTCAGAGCCACTGATAATGTGGATGGTTGGTTGGTCTGGAAGTGGCAAAACGCACACTTTAAACATTATAAAAAACCTGTTCCCTGACCCCTCCCAGGTACGCACTTTCATACCTTCAATTTTGATGTTGAATTCAAATAATCTGGAAAAGCAGGTCTCCAATTTATTAAAAAAGCTTGATTCATGTGGCCCAAGGTTGATTATCATAGATGGCTGGGATGACGACAATGATATCTCCATCAGTGTTCTCCAGACGCTGGTCAAGGAGTTCAAAAAAACTTCAAAGAACAAACCCACAGGAAAAATTATTGTTATTGTAACAGGCACCGAGGGAAGCAGGGAGATCAACAGAAAGTACCTGAAGCTTCGTGTAGAGGGGAAGGAAAGGGAAGATCTCCGACTCAACGATTTTAGGGAAGTGACCCAGGATATTGTTACATCTAGAAAGCTATATGAGGATTTCAGGAGGCTTATTGTTGTACCTTTTATGCCTCTAGAGAAATTGCAAGTACAGCAGTGTGTTCTGCAAGAGCTGAACAAGCTAGAGGAAAATGTAGAGGAAAAATTCAGAAATAGTTTGGCGGGTAAGCAGTCTTCAGTTATGGATGAAGTTGTAAATCAAATTAACTTTATTCCAGCTGGGCAGCCCTTACTCTCTGCCACAGGGTGCAAACGTGTCCAACCTCTGCTTAGGTTACTGCTACCAGAAGTAAAGTAAAAGTGGACTCTTTCTTTATCTGATAGGAAATAGTATATATATTATCAATTGTATTATGCATTTTTTTCTTTTTTAGTATCATTGTATTAGTAGTGTTATATTTTCAAAAATGAAAATATAATAGAAAAATAATTTATGGTGAGATGCATGAACTGTTACATTATTTTATGGGACATTACTCAAAGAGACATATTAAAGAATTTTTTAGAATGTATGATCAGTGTAATCTTAGTTGAGGAATAATGTGTGATGTGAATATTTGTCCCAATTAGCCTTGTCATGTATATTTTTGAGCTTTACATTGTTCTCACAGCCAGTGCAACAAAATTGCATTTATAATGATTTCTGTACCGAACAGGGATCTGCTTTAAGACAATTTGTAAGAAAGGTACAAATACAAACTAAGAATTTCAGAAGTTACATCAGAAAATAAAATCGATAAAAACTGTAAGATGTAAAACTAAAAGAAATAATTCCGCCTTGTGATTGCTATGCATTTACACTGTGCTTATAGAGTTAGGCCACAGGGTTTTGAAATAATTTATTGCTGCAGGGCTTTGAATTTCCTTAGTTCAGAAGACAACAAAGGAAGGTGCTACTGATAGGCTGGGTAAATCGACAAGATATTTTATTTTTGTTTCACCAATAAATAGTTAATAACATAAGCTGTGATACCTTTTATCTGTAAGAAGTGTGTATTTTTATCAAAACTCAAGTCAATGTGAATATCTGTTTGTCAGATTTTAAACATTGTAATTTTATAGTGGAGAATAATCGGCCATACTTTTGAGATGGTTATGTGATTTGCCTCCAAAGTGAATTTTAGTGCACAATATTTTATATATGGAATAAAATGTAAATTTAAATTTTAAGATGAGTTTCTTTAGTATATCTTCCTCAACTGTGTTTATATTCAACATTCAGTATGCCCAATGACTCAATGGGCAGAGGCACTCAAGAACTGATTTAACTTTAGGGAATTAAGGCTCAGGTGACACAGGTGATTAGGACCCCAGTTATCCTAGCAATGTGGGACTTGTAGGTTGAAAATGTGTTATTCAAACTGTGCTTATTTTATTTATGATTATAATATTTACTGAAAGCCAGATCACTAGAATATTGTGATATTTAATCTTTCATATCTAACAAGAATATGCAGAGTATTTTAGTACAAGTAGTATCGTAATAATAACAGTATACAATCCTGACTAAAATTTACATAGGTCTTCTATCCCATAGGAGAAGGAAGGTATTTTGAAGTGGGGGGGGGGGGGAGCAAAGTAGGTTCCCCCCCAAAAATGGTCGGATCCCAGGGATAGCATCTTGATGGGAAACCAGAAGGTGAAGCCCCCTTAAGCTGCTGGATTTTAGCAGTTTTAAAGAGATATTCAAAAATTTCTGACTTTTTTTTCAGGTAATATTTGACATAATGGGTATTTCATTTTGAACACCAGACTTAGTTGTAGCTGCCCTCTCAGTTGCAGGGGGTCCGTGTTCTCAACAACTAAGTAACTAAGGAATTGCAATGTTTTTTTATTTGTAGGGGAAGTTCTCAGAAATTGAATGGTGGGAAGGAATAAGCAGGGTCCCGCTACCTCCATTCTAGAGTGGGAACGGTCGCCGCCATCCCCCATAGTATGTGTAAGACCACTTATATACTTTACCCCCCTACCCCCTCTTTCCCTACACCTATACATCCTAAGAAGAAAATCGCTACACGCGCCTAATTTGTCTCCGTGTGTCTTTCCTTAAAGTACCATTATTGCCTATGTAAAGTACCAGTACTGCCTTAAAGTACCATTCTAACCATTATTACCGTTTATATATATATGATCAAAAAAGATCGCTGTGTGCTGGCTGGATGCTGCAACTAACATGTATTTGTACTCGGTGTCCCAGTCAGCTGATGTCAGAAGAGGGAGGAGGAAAAATGTCTAAAACAACCAGGTAAAGGAAGTTAGTGAAATGGGCGATTTGACGAGGTCAAAGGCCGAGATAGGGAGTGAAGCAATGCGCAAAGATGAGGAAAATATCGCTCGTGTCTGCTATAGTATTTGTTTGTTTTGTTGGGTGGTTGCTGTTATTTAGTCCATTCATACCGTTTTTGCATTCATTTAGTCTGCCTATGCTGTCAGCTACTTTACGCGGCTTTCAAATGTTCGAGCATTCGTTTACCATTCTTAAATGGGCCAAAATCCATGCCTAAAACGGTCATTGTGGAGCAAGTGTTCCTTTTGTGTGTATGTGTCCCTGGCATCTCAGGGAATCCGCTTGACAACCCAGAGTAGACCCTGTGACATAATCGACCTTTGTGTGGATATTCAGGAAACTACTCGTTGTTTTTCTTTTTCTTTTTCTTTTTTTAGACATGTGAGTGAGAGCTGAGAATGACAGGATAGGAGGAGAGGGACGCAAAGAGAGATCTGGAAAATGAGATATGTTGCCTTTCTTTGTGCGGTTGGGGTGTTTAAGCTTCTTGCATGGCGGGAAGGAGACTCTCTCTCTCTCTCTCTCTCTCTCTCTTCTCTCTCTCTCTCTCTCTCTCTCTCTCTCTCTCTCTCTCTCTCTCTCTCCTCTCTCTCTCTCGCTCACACTCACTCACTCACCACCCACTCACTCACTCACTCACTCACTCACTCACTCACTCACTCACTCACTCACTCACTCACTCACTCACTCACTCACTCACACTCACTCACTCTCTCCTCTCTCTCTCGCTCTCTCTCTCTCTCTAATGACCTGTTCTCATCGTCGTTCTCACCTCGCAAACCACAAAAGCCTTGTGGTTCTCATTTCACCGTACTTCAACATGTCCTGCGCATTGAACGAGATGAGTAAACGAAGAGACCTACCCCCTCTCCCCCCCCTCTCTCTCTCCCCTCTCTCTCTGTCTCTCTCTCTCTCCCCTCCTTCCCTCCCCTCTGTCCCCTCCCTCCCTACCCCTCTGTCTCCCTCCTCCCTCCCTCTGTCTCCCTCTCCTCCCTCTGTCCCATCCTCCCTCTCTCTCTCCCTCTCTCTCCTCTCTCTCTCTCTCTCTCTCTCTCTCTCTCTCCCTCTCTCTCTCTCTCTCTCTCTCTCTCTCTCTCCATCTTCTCTCTCTCTCTCCCTCCCCTCTCATTATTAGAAAACATTTTTGACTACATTTGGAATTGTCTTTGCATGTGTCTTCGGCGGGGAAAAAGGATCCCTGCCATTGCCTTTTCTGATCTTGTGTCGAATAAATGAGGAGATAATGGTATTGTCAATGACTGTGCAGTGAGTCAGTGTCAATGACTGTGTCAGCAATGACTGAGTCAGTGTCAATGATCTGGCTGTGAGTCAGTGTCAATGACTGTGCTGAGTCATGAGACAGTCAGTGTCAATGACTGTGCTTTGAGTCAGTGTCAATGCTGTGCTTTTGAGTCAGTGTCATGACTGTGCTGTGAGTCAGTGTCAATGACTGTGCTGTGAGTCAGTGTCAAATGCTGTGAGTCAGTGTCAATGACTGTGCTGTGAGTCAGTGTCAATGACATGGTGCTGTGAGTCAGTGTCAGTGACTGTGCAGTCAGTGTAAGGACTGTGCTTGTGAGTCAGTGTCAAGTGTGCTGACTGTGCTGCAGTGTCTGTGCTGTGAGTCAGTGTCAATGACTGTGCTGTGAGTCCAGTGTCAATGACTCGCTGTGAGTCAGTGTCAATGACTGCGCTGTGAGTCAGTGTCAATGACTGTGCTGTGAGTCAGTGTCAATGACTGTGCTGTGAGTCAGTGTCAATGACTGAGCTGTGAGTCAGTGTCAATGACTGTGCTGTGAGTCAGTGTCAATGACTGCGCTGTGAGTCAGTGTCAATGATGTCAGTGTCAATGACTGTGCTGTGAGTCAGTGTCAATGACTGTGTGTGAGTCAGTGTCAGTGACTCTGTGAGTCCAGTGGACTGTGCTGTGAGTCCAGACTGTCAAGCTGTCGACTGTGTGTGAGTCAGTGTCAGTGTCAAGTGACTGTGCTGTGAGTCACTGTGCAATGACTGCGCTAGTCAGTAATGACTGCGCTGTGAGTCAGTGTCAATGACTGTGCTGTGAATGACTGTGCTGTGAGTCAGTGTCAATGACTGTGCTGTGAAGTCAGTGTCATGACTGCGCTGTGAGTCAGTGTCAATGACTGTGCTGTGAGTCAGTGTCATGACTGCGCTGTGAGTCAGTGTCAATGACTGTGCTGTGAGTTCAGTGTCAATGACTGTGCTGTGAGTCAGTGTCAATGACTGTGCTGTGGTCAGTGTCAATGACTGTTGCTGTGAGTCAGTGTCAATGACTGTGCTGTGAGTCAGTGTCAATGGCTGTGAGTCAGTGTCAATGACTGTGCTGTGAGTCAGTGTCATGACTGTGCTGTCAGTGTCAATGACTGTGCTGTGAGTCAGTGTCAATGACTGTGCTGTGAGTCAGTGTCAATGACTGTGCTGTGAGTCAGTGTCAATGACTGTGCTGTGAGTCAGTGTCAATGACTGTGCTGTGAGTCGGTGTCAATGACTGTGCTGTGAGTCAGACTCTCTCTGGGTTGTTAGTTAAACTGTGTTTGGTTTGAGAAGCAGAGTTCTTGGTCGGAGTCAATTCTTTGCTGTTGTTTAATTTTGTTTCTTGTCTTCTTGTTTGTGATACTTTTTTCATGTCTGTAGGCGTGTCTCGTGAAAAAAAAACACTTGCCGAAGCACACCTGGTTTTAGGATTAGTAAAGAATGATTGACAGGCACCCATTGTGTAAACTTGTTTGTCGGGTCATTTCAGGTCATCATTACCATTATTCACGATAACTCAATTGTCAACGGACACTATAGAAACTTGCCACACACTGAACCCCCAGATCTCTTTCCCGAAGACGTCATTTTATCATATTAAACAGCAAGGTTTGAAAAGTAAAGGGAGCAGTCTCTGACGGGATAGTATAGTGTGTTGTGTGAAGGATTGGCGACCCTGACCTAGTGCATTGTGTAGTGTTCAGGTGCAGGTGTGTTGTACTTGTGACCAGTGAGTAGACGTGAGAGCAGAAAGATCTTTTCGGGCCTGGAACCTCGTCTTCAGCAGAGGTTCATTACAATGTTTTATTTTTTTTTAATGATTCTTGTTAATAATTCCTGTTTCTTGTTTATAATTTCTGTTTCTTGTTTATAGTTCCCATTTCTTGTTTATAATTCCTGTTCCTTGTTTATAATCCGTCTCTTGTTTATAATTCCTGCCTCTTGTTCATAGTTCCTGTTTCTTATTTATAATTCTTGTGTCTTGTTTATGATACTTGTTTATGATTCCTTTCTCGTTTAGAAAACGTTCCTTTATCATTTTTTATTTTCCTTGTTTTTGTTTCCTATCTCAATTAAGATTCTTGTTTCAAATTTAGGTTTCGTGTATACGATTTATTTCTTATTTATGCTTCTTGTTTATTAATTCTGTTTATTGTTGTATTACGAAAATATATATTATAACAATGTGAGTGTTTGTGATCGTGGCGACAAAAAGCGCGCCAAAATATGTCTGCCTTAGGTTAACTTTCGCACCGAAATTTGACCGCGAAGCCTACTCAGGGGTGAGATGGTTGCCGATAAAGGATTTTATATCTATTTATCTAGGTGTTTCTGTTTATCTGACTCTATATCTCGCTGTCAATGTCTCTGTTTTGTCTCTCTGTCCCTCTCTCTCTCTCTCTCTCTCTCTCTCTCTCTCTCCTCTCTCTCTCTCTCTCTCTCTCTCTCTCTCTCTCTCTCTCTCTCTCTATCTATCTATCTCTCTTCTCTGTCTCTCTCTCTGTCTCTCTCTCTCTCTCTCTCTCTCTCTCTCTCTCTCTCTCTCTCTCACACACACACACACACACACACACACACACACACACACACACACACACACACACACACA